TAGAGAGTATAAAATTCTTCCAGCTTCTGTTGAAAGGTGGTATATTTTCCCAGTGGTCTCCTCCCTGGTGGCCAATACAATAGCTGCTCCAGCTTCATGTTCTTCAATTGCTCATATGCAAGTTCAAGTTGAAGCTGAAGAAAATGAAAACAGGTCTAAACCAGTGCCACTGAATAGAGTCTGACTCATAGCAACTCTAGAAAGTGCATCTGAGGTTGTGAATCTTTAAGGAAGCAGACAGCCTCATCTTCCTCCTACAGAGTGGCTTGTGGGGCTGAACCACTGACTCACTGTTATCTGTTTAAGGTCTAATCCACAGGTCTGCTCAAACTCTAAAACAAGTCCATGGGAGCCACAATATGACCTAAATATGTAACTTGTTCTTGAAAGTATTATAGCTAATGCATGTGTGTGTGTGTTGGGTTGGAGTGGGGACGATGGATGAAATGATGGGACTAAGGGGCAGCTCAAGAAGTTAAAGTAAATTATAAAACATGTGCAAAGACCTGGAATTAGAAAACCAAAAGGGAACAACACTTGACATTCTTTCTAGCTAAAAGGCCTGAAGAAAGAAAGAAAAAAGAAAGTCTCAAGTTGCAATACTGAAGGATTCTCTGGACAACATATGGAATGACGTGGAAAACATGAAAAGAAGATGCAAGTCTGTAGTCACTTTACTGGGTTGTGTTCACCCTGCCTGTTGCTACACTTCTGGCTGGCCATTCTGCTTGCCCTTAGATGCTTGTGGACCTCAGCAAGTGGCCTGGACCCTTGAGCCTGCAGGAAGTAGATGAGCATCCACAGCAGGTCAAATACGGTGGGGCAGAAGTGCTGATTCCCACTCAGGGGAAGGACAGCCATCACATGAGATAACCTAGATTCAGGTTATCTGAATATACACGTTGGTCCTGACAGACTGAGATGGACCCAGCAGGAAGGATCCCAAATTCAGCGAATGGCACCATTTTCTCATGATCAGCATGAAGGGCAACAGCATTAGCAGTGGCACAGTCCTCCGATTATGTGGACTAAGCCGCCCAAGGGCACAGACATCAACTGCTGTGACTGGCTTGTCTGCGAGCAGTACAGGCCTCTGAAGTGTGACAAACTCATTCTTAGCATCCGATCTGGAGACACAGAGGCAAATTCAAGGGGGCATTTTTCTGAAAAAAAAGTACAAGCTCAGATTCCGCCATTGCTGGCATATGCTACCAGGTAAATGGGACCACTATGTGCCCCAGCTCTATGAGCAGCTGTTGGGAAAGCAGGGACATGGGGACATGCAGACTGGTCCTAAGGCCTCAGTGGTGTTCTCAAATTCAGTGACCCATGTAGAGTTCTCCTGTTCCCAGTTCCGGTCCCGTTCCTTCTCATAGGTGAGACGTGAACAATCAGAGAGTGGTTTAGTTAAAGTGACTTTCCCTTCATACTTACAGCTCAGACTTCCCTGTTTATGTTATGATCACATTTGAACTCCATTTGTGGTGATGTTTTGGTACTCTTGATAAGGCCTGCCATAGGTAGGTTTATTGTGCAAACCTTGCCAATCAGAACATGTGGCATTAATAAGGTCGCAGTTTGATTGGAAGGCAAAGAGATAAATGGCTCAGCAAGCCCCACCCACTCTCTCTCTCTTGCTCTCTTGTGATTGGACCAGCATGCTGTTGCTTTAGCTAGATCAAGCTCTAGCAACATGATCCATGGGTTGGCTGTCCCACAGGTAGTGTAGCTCATAAGTAGTTTGAAACCACCAGCCAGTTCCAAGGGAGAAAGGCAAGGCTCTCTACTCCCGTGAAGAGTTACAGCCTCAGGGGCAGTTCTACCCTGTCCTGTAGTCAGTCTGCCCTGTTGCTATGAGTCAGAATTGGTTCAATGGCAGTGAGTTTGAGGGGGGCGGGGTTGTTGAACTTTTCATCAGTAGAATCCCATGATCAACATCTAATATATTACACATCTTTAACGAGTATTGTAAGTTATGAATGCAAGAAATAGGGTGAAAAAATATTTGACTTCCTGATAACTCACTCATTGTAAGCTATGTGATTGGAAGCAACTTATTTCTACCTTGTTTTTCAAGTGGTATCAGATTCTTGGGCAGGATTTCTTAAGTAACTGTATGGCAGAGATATTGTGAGCGAATCATAACACTTAATAAGTGTAGGAACAGATCCTAGGAATTAAAAACAATTCCAGGGAAGCCATGGGACACTGGGAAAAGAAGGATTTGGAAGGTCCAGCGAGAGTGAGACCTTGAATAAAAATATGAGGTAAAATCATGTAAATTAAAATTTCATATGAAGATATAGTCAATTACATATGAATTATAAGCCTTTGGGTTAGTTAAGGCAATCCTGGCTAATAATGTTAGTGATGATAAGAATATCAAAAAGTATAGCATCTGGGGTCTTAAAGGCTTGAAGGTAATCAAGCGACCATCAAGCTTAGAAGCAACAAAGCCCACATGGAAGAAGCACACCAGCCTATGCAACCACGAGGTGTCGAAGAGATCAGGTATAAGGCATCATCAGAACAAAAAAAATCTTACCGTAGTGAATGATGGGAGGAGTGCTGAGTGGAGACCCAAAGCCCATTAGTAGGCCACTGGAGATCCCCTTGCAGAGGGGTCTCAGGGAGGAGATGAGCCAGTCAGGGTACGATGTAACAATGATGAAAAATACAACTTTCCTCTAGTTCCTAAATGTTTCCTCCCCGCTCCCACTATCATGATATGAATTCCACCTTGCAAGTCTGGCTATACTAGAGGATGTACACTGGTACAGATAGGAACTAAAAATACAGGGAATCCAGGGCGGATGAGCCCTACAGGACCAGTGGTGTGAGTGGTGAAACAGGGAGGGTAGAGGGAGAGTGGGTAGGAAAGAGGGAACCAATTACAAGGAACTATATGTGACCTCCTCCCCGGGGGATGGACAACCAAAAAGTGGGTGAAGGGAGATGTCGGACAGGGCAAGATTTGACAAAATAACAATTTATAAACTCTCAAGCGCTCAAGAAGGAGGGGGGAGCGGGGAGGGAGGGGAAAAATGAGGACCTAATGCCGGGGGTTTAAGTGGAGAGGAAATGTTTTGAGAATGATGAGGGCAATGAATGTACAAATGTGCTTTACACAATGGATGTGTGTATGGATTGTGATGAGTTGTATGAGCCCCTAATAAAATGATTTAAAAAAAAAGAATAAAGGAAGGAACAAAAGAAAAATTAGAGTTCTATAGATGAGTGAGTGTTCCCACCCTGCTACCACCTCCAGTCATGATTCCTCTTCTGAAGAAGGATCAGGATAGATGCCAGGGAGGCAGCCAGGACCTTGCAGCAGCCTTAGCCATGAATGAATGACTGTACTCGTTCTTGTTTGAGGATGTGCAGAGTCCAGCCAGGTAACACCAAGACCTTGAAAGGATCAACGAAGTCCCAGAGGTGCCTTTCCCGGCCCCCTTCCAGGTCACTCCTTGTCATCTGAATCTCCCAAACTAAGAGATTGATTCCCTGCCATTTGTCTACCAACTCGTGTTGTTAAAAAAAAAAATGTATGAAACCCAGTATGGATATCGTTCATTTTTTCTGATGTGATCGCAGGTCTCATTAAAGCCCACACTTTCACCCTACCCTTAAATCTCATAAAAGGGAAGCAGGTCAGTTACAGGAGAGGTTTCTGTCTGCCATGAGGAGGAGCCAGCACTTGGGAAAGCACTTGGGAAAGAGGCGACTTCTCATAGATGTCAGGAGCCCCGGGGCTTAGTGGTAAAGCATTAGGCTGCTTAACAAGTAGCTAGCAGTGCAAACCACCAGCTGCTCCAACATCTCTGCCTGGGCCCCAGTGTGGCTGGGGGGCTTCCCAGCATGGCCCATGTGGGTCTGCTCCCCAGTCTCTTAGGTGGCTGCTCATCTGTCCCCGGGGCCACCATGTAAACAGCAGGCCTTGACACAGGCTGCCAGAGCTGAGTGCCTTAGAGAAACTCAAGGCATCCTGACCGTGCAGTCCAGCCAGGTCTCTGTTTGAGCATACAGCGTGGTGTGCAGTCCCTGACTAGTCTGTAAGCAGGAGCCCATGAGAAGCTCTGTGTTCCCAGGTGCTCTATATGGGTAGCATAATAAGTTAGGGGAGGGGCTGCTAAGCACATCAGCAGTTTGAAACCACCAGCTGCTCCGAGGGAGAAAGATGAGGCTTTTTAATCTCATCAAGAGTGTCCAGCTCAGAAACCCACAGAAGCAGTTCTTATCTGCCCTACAGGGTCACTGTATGCAGGACGTGCCTCAATGGCAATGCGTTTATTTTACTGTTTCCCCAAATGGACAATACTGCCCCCTGGGGAGTGACGGGAACATCCTAGAGAGGGGGTAGGGGGTGACAGTGGGGGAAAGCACTGCGAAAGCCAGTAAACTCAAGCACTTACTGCCATGAAGTCATTCCAACTCATAGTGACTCTGTAGGACAGACTAGAGCTGCCCTTGTGGGTTTCTAAGACTGTAACTCTACAAGAGTAGAGAGCCTCATCTTTCTCTCCCAGAGCTGCTCCTGGATCTGAACTGCTGACTTTGTGGTTCACAGTCTGACAACAACGCTCTGTACCACCAGGGCTCCTGGATTATGGGCTCTAGTACACATGTGTTTCATGGCCTGGGGGCTGCTGACACCTCTCTTTTCTACAAAGGAGGCGCTAGGCCAGATACGTTTGGGGAACTTATGCTCTACACCAAAGCCTCTGAAACTGTGGGCTACGATTCCATATGGGGTGCGAATGTGGGGGTTGCAAAAATTTTGGCAAGAGGAAACAGCTAATGAATGCACAATGACCCCAAAATAATTCAACACCAATCACGTCTCAAACCCAAGGTGTTTCTGGCAGTGCTTGCCTGCACTGCAAATGTCTTGGGGGCACGAAGGTGTCAGGCAGAAACCATTTACAAAACCCATCCCTGGGAGGGGGTGTGCGGGCCCAGTGAGCTCCACTAGGCTGCTCACTTGCTCTTATCTGGTTCAGTGTTTGTCAGGTTCAACTCCAGCCATGGCTTTCCCGTGGAGGTCCGTCAGGACACCAGCATCTCCCAGCTCAAGGAGGCGGTTGCCAAGCGCCAGGGGGTTCCAGCTGACCAGCTGAGAGTGATCTTCGCCGGGAAGGAGCTTCGGAACGAGTGGACTCTGCAGGTGAGTGTCCCCGGGTGACCACCTTCTAGAATTCGGCCAGCACCGTGGCTCCTGTCTTGTCTGCAGCCAGTCTGACATTCACGCCCAAGATCTGATAGAATAAGCAGTGGCTGGGGAATCCTTGAACTTTACTCCTCTCTGCTTCATTAATTCTGACCTTCTTAATTATGCATGAAAGCTGCAAGCAGGCTGGGCTAGAAGAGCAAGTGAAAGTGGGGGGCGAGAGAGAGAGAGAGAGAGAGAGAGAGAGAGAGAATGAACCCCCACAGGCTGGGCTCAGTGGATAAATGTTTACCGACTGCAAGGCACTGTCTGTGCAATTGCTGGGTCTCTTCGATTTCCACCTCACCCATTCCATCTGAATCTTAATGAAGAAGGATTAGAATAAATGGTTCCATACCAGGCCACCCCAATCTGTATGAGGGGACAGATTCACAACCCAAGTGTGACCCCTGGAGGCTCCTGGAAGCTCTGCGTGGCATCTGCCACCCAGCATCCAGGGACAGGTTGTGCTCTGAGACTGCTCCAAGGTCCTGGATGTCCAGGGCGGGCTCAGAGTCACACGTGTGTCATCTCAAAGCTGGCGGAGAGCAGGAGCAGGCACAACAGACAGACACGTGCAGATGTCACTTCTCCAAGGGTCAGCTTGGCTGGGTCTTAGTTTCCTCGGAATTGGATACAACACAGAGGTTATGAAGCAGGCAGTGCCCCCTCGCCCATTATCCATCACACCTGCTCCTAATCCTATCAGAACCCGGAATGCTGCTCCTCTAGGTGCACTGTGTGGCATGTGGCTCTGGGGAGGAGGTGGGGAGTCGTCGGTACACAGCCTGGAAGGAGCGGAACCCAGCAAGTGCTACTTAGCATTCACTACACACATACGTGGTGCCTTCAGTAGTGGGACAAGTGACTTGGGGATCTATAAACACCCCACCCCCTTCTGAACCAGCTCAGACTCATGGAGGGTGGCCACTGTGTCTGGATGCATAGCTGGCCCTCAGTACTTACCTCCCATCCCAGTCGCTGCTGGGTTACCCTATGGCTTTGTGAAAGGCCTTCAGAATTGGGGGCATGAAGGAAGAGACCTAAAGGGAAACTGTCCTTGTCATCCCCTGCCAGCAGTGGCACACGGACTCGCTGTGCACAAAGTGCAGAGCTTGGATTTGGGGCAGTTTGTGTTCATAAGGCAAGTGTGTGTGCTAAAAAATGTTCTGATCGATTGACTGATTTTTAGTTCAACGAACTGTAAGGCTTCTGTAAAGCTTCTTTGGCTGTACTTGCCAACTTCTGGATCCAAGAATGTTTCTGGCACAAATAAATGATTGTCAAGCCTAAGACCTTAAGCCAGCCATCTGAAACGTGGCTAGAACATTCAGGTTCTAGAGCAGAGGTGGGGAACGTCCGTCTATGGGCCATGCAAGGCCTTCTGCACCTTTCCTACCAGCTAACCATACACGTGACCAAAGAGAAGCAAACCCAGCCATCACAGGAGGGTGGGCTAATTAAATGTTTGACCAAATAGAGCAAGCTGATTTTTAAGTCCATCCATTTGTGTGGCCCGAGAACAATGGTATAAATATCCAAATGGTGTTGGCAAAAAACAGGTCCCCCACCCCTGGTCTAGAGTTCCTCAGCTCCCCCAATGGGGCTGATTAGTAAAAACAATTCCCTGCTCTTAGTCCAACAATAAGCAGGTCCATCAGAGGACAGTATCACCAGGGGGTGAGATCAAAAGGGCAGCACTGACCCCAGGACAGAGTTCACAAGATTGGGGAAAGGAGGCAGAACGGAAGCTGGAAACACAAGGGGTGAGTAAGGTAACTGATGGTCCCCAGAGGGGATACCATTGAATAAGAAGACACAGCCTCTGTCCAGACGGTTGAATATGAAGCTGATGGTCTGCTCTATGCAGTTCACAGCAAGATGCATGAAAAGACAGTCATGAACTTTAGCTATTTTATGTTCAGTCAGACCACGTGCTAGCGGATGCCGAGTTTTGCACTCCGTGGGCCTAAAGCATGGGTTTTGTTTGCATTTGGACAGACCATCCTTGCTGTTGTTGTTGACTTTGTGAGGTGCAGTGGAGCCAGTTGGACTCGTAGCAGCCCTGCAATAACATGACAGAACACCGACCGGTCCTGCGTCACCCGCACAACTGTTGTTTTGTGTGAGCCCCTTGTTAACAGCCACTTCTGGTGCTGCGGGTTTTCAGGAGGGGTGGAGCTCAGCCCTGTTCTTTAGTTTGTGACTGGAAAACCCACGGAAGTGCTAGGTTGATCTACCAGACATTACCACTCATTAGAAAAAATTATATTGGCACACAATTCACATATCATACAATTCAGTCACATCAAGAGGAGTTGTAAAATCAACATCATTTTCAATAAGTGGCAGAACATTTTCTTCATTCTTGTGTTCATCATTATTAGCTTCCCATTTCCCCTCAGCCTCCCTTGTCCCCCCACTGAGGAACCATTAATCCAGCCACTGTCTCTGTAGATGTACCAATCCTGGATTTGATATACAGAAAAAAAAAATTTTTTTTTAATCGGACAATAACAAAATAAAACAGATAAAAACCTCAATCAAAAGAAAGCAGAAAATGTTAAAAACTATAACCCATTTACAATGGCTCATAAGGGAGACCAAATGATTATTTTAAGGTGAAAACTATCAGCCGTGCCCTGTGGCCTAACCTAATAGCTATGCCATAAAGCAGCTGTGAAGTAAGTCTCCTTAGGTCCCTCAGATAAAGAAATCACATCTGACCAGAGTCACCAGGGATTCCACGGGAAAATTGAAATTGGGAGAGGATTCCATAGGCAGAGGGACGAGCAGAGAGTATGCTTGGTGTCCTGGAGGAGACGCTGAGGAGTGTGGCCACAAGGAACATTTGGTGCTCTGTGCCGAGGAACCTGAGCTGTCTTGACCTTCAGAATTCATGTCTGGGAGGCCAGAAATCATAGGGTGCCATAGAGAGAGAGGAGGAGACAGAGTTGGAGAGCCTTTGGGGTTCAATTAGAAGAATGATGTGCTTCTGTCCGTGATGAGAGTGGAAACCTGCAGGTTAATAATACATGTGGCGATACCTGGGATTCAACTGGGAATTTCTGGCTGGAGCTTTTAGGGCTCATCTTACAATTAAGAACAGTGTACATAGAGGTACATATTGCACTTCCTCGATAAGGTATCCTTGCTACTGGCCAGTGTGGAAAGAGAACTGTGGGAAGGGATGTAAGCAACGGGAGAAGCCAGCAAAGAAGTTCTCATTTCTTCCACTGACATTTCTGAGGATCTCTGGTAGACCCCTCAATTCTAGGGACAAAAGGTGAATAAGAAAATTCCATGTCATTACAAGTTAATAAAGGGACTAGCTAATAAAGGAGGAGAGCCAGTAAGTCAGGATGCTTTGTGTAAAAGGGGAAGGGACAAAAAGACAGGAACTGGTAAGGATCACCTATGTGGTGAAGAGGTGGAGGAAGACTGGGAGAATCCAGCTCTCTGGTTTGGTGAGTATGGTGATTTAGGAGGCCTTAAAGGCTGTCGTCCAGTCCGGCAGCTGGCCACCTGACCGCAGGGGTTAAGCTATGAGCAAAGGAACAGGAACAGGATGTTCATAGCACAGACAGACAGCTTGCTATGAACTTGGAGGAGAGGCAGAGATAGGGTTGTTCATGGGAGAAATAGCACACCCACACCACATTGTACTATTTCTTCTAGCCATGGACTACATGCAGGGCTGCCTCCTGTCATTGAAATCGTTTGAAAATATGATTTTATATTCTGACCTTTTCTTCACTTAACATTATATCATAAGCTTATTTCTTGGAATATAACCTTTCTCTCTAATTCTAAAGATAATACCCGATTGTATATTTCTACCATAATCTTGCCTCTAAGTATCTGGTTATAGTCACTATTCCACATTGCAAATCAAGCCAAAATGTTTTCTGAAAATGTGTGTGCTGCATATTTAGAGAGAGTAACTTCTCTGTGTCTCTGTTCTGCCCATCATTCATTCAGGGGTCATCCAACTTGTTCATTGGTAAGACAGGAATAGTAATAGTACCTACCTCATTGGAATTTTTGAGGTGTAAATGTGTTAATTAAGCAAAACTGGTAGAATAGAATATAACATATGGCAAGTACTATAGAAATTTGAGCAATTGTCATTACCACCACCACCACCACTATCATCATCATCCTCGTTGTCCTCATTGGGCAGGCATCAGCTTCAGTAGACCAGGACTCTTACAGTGAATCGTGACAAGTGTATCTGGAATAGGGAGTTCATGCAATGATGATGTCATAAGGATTATACTGGAACAAAGACATGTGAGCATGTGTTTGACATGTGAAACTTTATAGAATGTTTTATCTATTTTGATTAAAAAATCTTGGTGTTTTTAAGTAAATTTTGATCCTTAAATATACAGATTTTACTTATCTTAAGAAGAGTGGGATTTGAGGCTAGCAAGCTTAGAAAAACTTTATAGTTTTCTTAGGTAAATTCAGCAAAAAGTGAAAACCCAGACCTGTAGTCTTTAGAAAAGAGTCACCATGATATTATTGTTTTAAAAGATAATCGCTGAAACCAGTTATCCACATCACACTCTCTGTCAGCAGCAAATGAGAAAGAGTTGTACATTATTTTCCTACATTATAACTAATGCTCTCTACATGCTTTTATTCTTTTTCTTCTATCTATATAAGACTATATCATAAAATATTAACATTTGACATATTATTTACAATAGAGTGGTGTTTTCTCTTTATAAAGGGCTCTTGTCTGTTCTTGTAACAGGATTCAGGATTTGTTCAAATGATGGGCAACTCTGTCTTCCAATCCTCACATCTTACATACTACCTATCAAAATACCTAAAATCACCTTTATGTAACTTCTAATTCATTGTTCAACCTTATACAGGGAAAACAGGGGTTCAAATATAGCTGAATATGAGGTTGCTATGAGCCAGAATTGACTTTAGGCTGTTGGTAT